TCTCTGCTGCATACAAGGTTTTAAAAAAAGATACAGTACCCACTTAACGTTGTTACAAAAATAGATTAAATATTATAAATTTKAATTATCTAAATAAAATATATTTCTTATCTTATATTCATTAGTCTATTAGGAAAAAAATTAAAGATAATAATGATTAAGTTACAAAATGTTAGTTAATGATTGCTGTTACAAAATGTATTTATTTTTCAATCAAAATAATAGATTAACTTTAAACCAATCGATTCATTTTACAATGTATAGGTAGCTACACAATTTGTTTTATATTTATAGAAGTTTTACATACCATGTTAATTAAGTCTAATTGGTCCTAAATATTTTCGATAAAGAAAAAAAAAAACTCTCAGCTCGGTTTAAAATCGTCTTGAGATATAAAAATTGAATTCGAACCAAAATAAAATAATAAATTGCTTTAAAAAGCAAATAAAAATAACCAATTATTAATACCTAATCACCTATTTAACACTCTAATCTAATTATAGACGTTAATATTCTGTTAGAATTTCTTAGTTATTTAAATTATTTAAATTATGTAGTTATGTAACATTTCGTAACAATATTGTAATACAAGTTCTATAAGGTTACTATATAAATTTGTAAATCTGAAAAAACCGAAGAACTCTCTCTGCTGTATAAAAGATTTGGAGCGTATCTCGTTATAGGTATATTACGTTTCTGTTTTGAATTTGTTAAAAKTATTATTTATCATTGTGTACGAAAAATGATTTTAAAAGGAGTCAATGTGACAGTGTCTATTTATAGATATATTGAGAAATTTAATTAATTTTAGCCCAAATTATTACTCTCAAATATTTATATAGTATTTAGCCAAACTACTTGTTCGCATATTATAATATAACACATTAATTGTAATTTTTAATTTATATAGAGAGTGTATCCTACTGTAGAATGGCGATAAATTCGTGTTTAAAGATGCTAAATAATTTAGTTTAAACTATTCACCATTTAACTATATATGGAATTTAATAATGATCAATGATTAATATAATATGTAGGATGTCTACAAAGTAACTAAAACCAATGGAAAAAATAATTGAACGCTTAATATTGTCAATATTTGAAGTCCAAGTATTTATTAAAAAYATATGAAAAGTATGAATTTTATATATTTTTTTTTTTTTTGTAAAAACAACTCATTCTGAACTTTGTATTACATTTTTAAGCTTAGTGACCGTAAAAATTGTTATTGATATGTATTTTATATCGATAAAAAACAAAAAAAAGTAAGAAATTTCAAAGTAAAAACTAGATAAAATGTTCTCCTAGAACCACTCTTCATGTTAAAATTGAAGCTTGATTTCTACTCAAAAAT